GTGCGCTGGTGTTGCCACCTCGGGGGTACTGTGAAGGCGTCTGGAGGTAAAACGTGTTCAACAAAGTAGCACGCATTTTGGAAAATCCGTCAGCAAACCAAGTAGACGGGATTTTGACGAAAGCAACACGGTATAGTGATATGTACAAAGGGGGAAGAGTTGTTTACGTTTTGGCGGATTGTGGTTATCCGTGAGTGTACGAAACTCCAACAGGTGGTTGTTCTGTCGCCCTCAGCACAACGTTGCCTGGGTATCAAATACATTGTTTCTGCCCCTAGCGGTCCGACCCCGGGTCAAGTCAAGACCAGCCAGAACAATTCGTCTTCAAACAAGTCGCCATGGATCAAGCAAGAAGAGAGTCTCCTTTGGTCAGAATCCTGTATATGTCTCAGATGGCAGCTTGCCAAACGTAACCCGCTTCTGTCAAAGACTCTAAAGAGCTACATTTTTTTAGTGGACAAAGAACGCTTCAAAAGGACACCCACAGTGGTGGACATTGTATCTGTCCAAGATCGTATAGTCATTAACTAAACAAACTCATTTTTAGTTCCTTGACATTCTTCGGGCTATTGCTTCTGCAGATTTTGACAGAAGTCGAATAAAGAGAGATTCGAAGGTCGCTTTGTACTCAGTATCCACTGCAATGTGAAAAATATAAAGTGTTGCGCCCTACTCCTGACCTTGATGTATGACTTGTGTTTCACGTTGACTTGTAGTCCTGACAGAGTTTACAAAATGCTGCGCGAGTCGGGAACAGGGGCCGACAGGGGAAAGTAGAATGGCCGGCTGCTCCCAGACACAAAGGCGTCAAAGTTTACTAAATTAAAACCGAGCCATGCGAGGGGGTCGCTTTTCCTTTAAGCCGATTGTTTCCGTAAACAAAACGAAGGCACTTCACGGATGAATAGCTGTTGAGCAGTTATCGTAAGACGGGCCTTTCCATGGGCGCAACAAACCTACCCGGGCAATCTGAAGCTAGTTCTAGCAGAGTTTTGCCGTTCAGGTATCTTCCGTGACTACTGTGACCGTCTTTCCGGTGCTGTAAAAGCTTTAATTCTATACCCAAAAGTCGTCCTGTCAGAAGTTGGCATGAATGACTTATGTAGTCTATTCTTGTCACATTTGACAACCTTACCTTTTACTGTTTATTTGAGTAGAGCCCTGTCGTATAAGGATGCCATAACGGTCTACGTGTCTGTGATATATTGAGTATATTGACTTCTCTCCGCCTAACCAATTGCAATTTACTGTACATTTTTTACAAATAAACTTTAATAAAAAATACTGGACAGTAAACGTAAAACGATAGCATTCTTGT